CTTTTATAGTTGCCAATAATAAAAGCCGATCATTCCGATCGGTATGAGGGTGCTTGATTATTAATTAGTCGCGATATGTACAATGAATGGCGAACTGGAGAATTTCGCAATGCAAACATTTTCAAATGAAATAACCTTTTCCGTCAATAAATCGCGCTCTTCGGGGTATTTTTGCTTATCATTTTGTAGTACACAGTGGGTTATTATGGTATGTTATTCCGAAAGCTGTTAATAGAATGATGAGTTGATGACCTAAATATTCCGAAAATCTATTTATAGAGGGATGTACTCCTATCGGTCTCTCCCGGGATTTACTAATGACCGGCGAATAGTACCACACGTTTATTGTCCGGTCTCTCCCGGTTTTGGAGTAGATATCGTTACAGAACAGAACAAATATTTTACAGATAAATAAGCTTTTTTTCAAAATGAATGTTTGTCACTTAGTTTGGTTACAATAATTAATAAACACAGATCAACTCTCGAATTGATTGATTATTATTATACATAAACATACAATTCGAAAAAAAAACCAACAACACAAATCGCATGTTATATTTTATCTATATGAGATAAAAACAATAAATATGTACAATAATTGAGAAAAAAATGTACATTTTTATGGCATTAATATGACACTATCAACTTTAAAACATTTTATATAATTTGTTATTCGTGTTTAGTAAAGATTCCGAGGAATTATTCAAAGTTACAAATCAGATTTTATGAATTATTCAATTAATTGATAATTTAAAAAATGATAAAGAAAAATACATATGTACATGTATATGGTTTAAGAATAAACAATATTATAAATTGAAAGATTAACCATGATTTACTGACTTTTTCCAGTTAAGTTTTGACTTATAATCGTCGATCATTATGACAATTGAATTCTTAAAATAGTAGTAAACGTAAAAACTCAGTATTAAAATAGCGCATAAAACACACACAAAAAAAAGAAAAGAAAACAATATTCATAAAATCTGTATTTTTTTTTATTAAAATAGAAATTACATTTATTGTATAATAAACAATTATGCTCAACATGATCAACATGGTAATATAACAAGTGTCATATTGTTACTTAGTGTGAACAGATACCTTAAGAGGGGGTCCTCGTTAATAGCAATAACATAATAAGGGACAATTACACAAGTATGGTGTTGATCATGCGTTACACATATGGATTATAAATGATTGTATACATGTATATCCGTTGCTATTAATAACCACGATCATAAAGAAATAACAAGTAATATTCTAATTTCTAGCATGCCGATCAAAGTTATAAATAATGAACAATGTCTTTCGTCCGTTCATTCAAAAGTGATATACAATTCTGGTAAAACCCAATGAACCATTGAAAAGTTTATAAGAATAACTTGTCATCATATATCTACTAGTTCATCTGCACCTGCTGTTTGGACGCCCTTTGATGCTTTGCATCAATGTCTTTCTTGTTCTCGTTTGTATCATAGTCAAACATGACAGCACGTTCCCTGTTGTCATAATATGAAACCCCAGAAACAATTAACCAATGAACGAGCATTTGAATATGATATTTCTGCCCCTTTCCCTTTCTCTGCCGTCACAATAAGTAAACCCAAGCAAAAATGAACCAATCAACGGGCATGCTATGGAGTGCGGCTGCACTCCAGTTACCGCACTCGTGCATGTATATGTATACGATTTAACTCTTGACACTTTTTCAACAGAAAGGTCCACAAACTATGATACAATAAATAAAGTCGCATGTTTGCTGATTATATTATTAAGTTGTCGGAAACTACTCACTTTCATTGGCACTATCTATATGAAAACACTTTGATAAAATTGTAAACTAACAAGTTAGTGCTGATATGTTACACTATCCACGTGTCTATGCTGTAAAGAGAGAATACAATTTTTATAATAAAAGTGTAAACTAGCTACTTATATTACTTATGTATTTATATACTCTCGTATAAACATGCATCATTTATATATATAGAGATGTTGGTGATATATCATACCGCATTTACGCCAACCACAACCTGGTAAATAACTTTAAAACATATTTAGATTGATCATAAAAATCAACAACTCAGAAAATATTGAATGTAAGTATACATAAAACATACTGCATATTTTATAAAATAGTCGTTAAAAGTTAATTCATAAATTGAAGGTTAAAACCCAACCACAAACTTGAATCCATTAATCTATTTTATTTAAATATTTAAAGATATTTCGCAATGAAATTTCACTAGACTATTATGTCCGCATTCACTTTTCAGCAGATAAACATCGTATGATAAAATCACGTGTTCCATGTTTGTATGCGACACCCACATGTCAACTATTTTGCATTTGTGGGCTCTTACAAAAGTAAGGCATAATTAATACGGTACATGTTTTGGCGTTGAAAACTTGCGGGCTTTTTGCTTCAAGAATTTCGTCAAAGTAAATTTAAATGGGGTTTCATCACATAACACTTTCATTCGCTTCAACAATTCCTCCAAAACTAAAATTAATGATACGTATTAGGGCTTAAATATTTCAATATTCGTGATGTTTACTGTTAAATCGTTATAAAATTTGTTACCTCTATCATTCTAGTTACACTTAACTCCTTTTATCAATTGAGCTTATATATATTCTCCAGACTTAGAATGTATGTTATGTTTATTCAAACAAAACCGTGTCAAAATATTTTCAATGTTTGTTGATATGTAACGAAATACATGTAAATAATTTTTCTTCTTCTTCTTCTTCTTCTTCTTCTTCTTCTTCTCCTCGCGTTCTCTATTTCTTGTTCAAAGACGTGCTAAATGTTTGCGTTACACTGTGAGCTCGTCAATTGAAAGGTTATTCTTTTTTTATTTTTATATCTTATATGTATGCGATCGATCAAGTTTTATATTCGTAGAGCAGGGTCACTAAATTTATTGAACTCATTGAATGCTCGCCAAAGGCTCGCATAATATGATTCTATTCAACTCGTTCAATAAATTTAGAATTGAATACACTCAGTCAATATCCTCTATTTTTACAAAATGAAATATCCTAATGATACTTATGCACAATGCCATAAATGAGATAAAAGACACAAATTCTGTCCCTTCTCAAAACGTATTATAGAAAAAAGAAATTATCTCACGCAATCCTTGAATAATTTTAATTTGGCATCACATGCCGTTAATTTCCGAGAGTGAACCTAGACAGGCCGAGTACGTATTGGACAGTTAGATGTATATTTGTCCTACAACCTAATTCTGAACTAATACATTACATTTTACCATTATGATGTTTTCTTCTATAATTTATTGTAACCAATCGTATTAATTTGATATACGTAAATAAGTAGTAATAAGCTTATTTCTTATCATTTCTCACTATTTTTAAATGACATTATGCCTATCAAAGCATAAAAAGTGAGTGTGCAGGTAAAATAAAAATAATTTTACATTTTTCGATAAATGTTCAAGATTTTATAATATACTTCATGAAAATAAACAATAACCTATACGTACACACTGATTTTTATAGGTTTTAACAATATTCTTCTGAATTTATCACGATATGTGCATGTGAGAAAAGAGAGTGAGTGGGGCAATCTTTTTTTATTTAAGACAAATATTACATTTTATCTTAAAATTTTCCACCTTCAATTATTGGTTAATTATCATTTTAATTTCATTCTCCCGAAATATATAGTTAATTCAGCTCAACTTGACAGCAAGAAATAAGCAAAATGTCACCTAACTGTATTTTGAAAATGTTTTTGTAATTATTAAATTTGCTAATCTTTCTTAGAATGTCATTAATTATTACTAAGAAATAGCCTATTTATTCTGTTCGAATTTTAGCTTCTAAAATGTTAAACTAGTCAAAGTTATGAAATGAAATCAATAAGTACGTAAATAATTTAATAACTCATTTTATGTAGAAATTTATATAACTTGATATTTCGCAAAAGGCGAGAAAAAATGTGCTACAGTTAATCATACTTAACCTATAGCTCTTCAGCGCTTCTTATGTAAAATTCTTCCAAGTATAAGTATGATTAACTGTAGCACATTTTACTCGACTTCGTCGGCATAAGAAAGGTCACGTGATTATGGTATAATTTACGCAAACCCAGAAATCGTCAACGCAGCAATGGTATATCTATTACATATCATTTGGTCGACGAAGAAATATAGCCTTGTTGATGACAGCTGAACTAATGACAGACACCTTTAGTTGTCCAAGTGGACAAACATATGTGCTCCTAGCATAGATTGATTCAATATTCAGAAAAAAATGTTGTTTTTTGTAAGTATATTTTGTTCATATTGAACATTTGATTATGGGTTTATCAACCGCTGATTGCGTGATGAACGCTCTATTCGTGACAACATTTAGTGGGTGTAGATACTGATCACAACCTTCTTATTAGTATTGCGAACGCTATTTATAGATCTATAAATAATGAAAGAACATTTCTCAAAAATTAAGCTATATTAAACGTGCGATGACTTTAAGAGCATCTGTTACACATATTTAAGTCCATCCTTTAAAAATTTAAAAATTTGATAAATATTGATGTTTAAAACTATTATGAATATTTCTAATGTATTGGTATTGCGATTCGATTTAAAAAAACTGGGTTTATCCAATAATTATTTGTTATTTTTTCCTCAAATGTTCAACTGGGAAAATATTGTATTTTGAAAATTTTTATTTTAAAATTTATATAAATAATTTCTACAAAAAGAACGTTAACATAATTTATGTCATTTAAATTTTTAACCTGCTTATCTCAAAAATATTGGTGGCAATAATTTAACCGTACATATTCATTATACATGCATTTTATCAAAGTCTAACTTTTTCACATTACAAGATACAATATTCACATGCTTATTTAAACATTATTAGATTATTTCAACTATTTGTTATGTTAAACTAAATTCAGATAACGCAATATTACGATTACAGCGATAAAAATCTCCACGCTTTAAAGTTCATCGAATGTTGACAAGTGCTTTATGTACAACCCACATGATATATTTTGTCAACGTAACACGCCGTTTTGTTTGCCTCAAGTTTACAACCATAAAACACCGATAACAAACAGGAATTTAAATTTAGAAAGACAAAATTCACGTTTTGACCTGGATTAATTTTGTGATGTTGAGACTACTTGTTTTAATAACAATCATTTCCGGTGTTAGAACGAGAGGCGTTCCAACAGCAGACGACAATGCGGAATTGGTACCCAAAGGAATCAAAACGGATCGAAAGGACCACTCGAGCGAATATTCCACCTTAACGGACTGTAAAGGTATACGACGGTCTCTAAAAATATTTCATTCATATATTTATATAAATTTAGTATGATAAATCGACGACTATTAACGTTATGAATTGGTATAAATCGACAGCCAATACATGTTTATACGTGTAAATATATTAGAAATAGTATTTCGTAGATTTTTTATCCTTCTTACATAATATGGAGCTAATTTTACGCCATTAACATATTTTGAGAAGGATTCGATTTCAAATCACTATATTTCATTTACAAATTTATCGATCAAACTTACGCATTTAGTTACAAAGAATAAAGTAAGTGTATTGATCATGAAAATGCGTTCTTTTATGTTAAGTAAATAATTTTTGTTAATGTATTACTTTAACCATCGTGAAGTTAAGGTATTTGCGCGATTTTGTCACTGTCATTGCCTAAACTTTTAAATATACATTTTCAAGGGTAAATGCTCTTTACATTTATGTATTAGTTAACTTTTATTTGCTCATACAGGCGATTTTTTACCTATATATGTTTAAATTGATAATAGTAGATACTTAAAGGTTATCTTTATACAATAGGTGTTTACATTAAGGTTTAATTCATATCGTCGTGTTTCGATTTTAAAGCTAATTTTATCAAATCATATTTTTTTTTGTAAATGAAATCACATATATATGCATACGCGTGACTTAAATGCATGCTTGCACATATTAAGTTTCTTTTCATCTAGAGATGCAATCTTAATTATAAAAACAATATAATAAACTAATATAGTAAATTATACTTATGTACTTATGTATAATAAGTTTAACAAGTCGGTATGGTATTGCTTTTAACAAACAAGCTTCAATATAGTCTTTATGAATATAAAGTTACACAATCATTTAAGCATGCAAAATACATAAAACAAATAAATATATAAGTGATAGTATATGTTTTTCATACATTTTACATTTACAAAAATAACAGATGTCATGAACATTGCTGTTAACAATGAATGTCTCGAACCTACGATCACTGTGGTGAGAGGTAGACTCATCTATAATATGAGCCGCGTCATGACAAAACCAACGTCATGCGTTTGCGACCAGCATGAATCCAGACCAGCCTGCGCATCCACGCAGTCGGATCAGGATCCATGCTGTTCGCTATCAATTTCTCTACTTGTAATAGGGTTTGTAAGCGAACAACATGGATCCTGATCAGACTGCGCGGATGCCCAGGCTGGTCTGGATCCATGCTGGTCGCAAACTAGATATGAAAAATGTAAAGACTAGTTATTTTGATACAGCTAACCAGGGCAAGAATGACTACTCTACAGTGACATATATGATAAGCAATAATTATGAATAACAAGCACTATCATGTTAGACAGCATTGTGATTAATGTATCTGCATTTTTTACATGTGTACGTTACGTGACGACAAAAAAGAACGCCTGTGTAAATCGTGCAAAAACATTGCATGTAAAATGCACTATTTCTGCGTGGAATAACTTATTAAATTAGCATTTGAAGATTAAATTATATTAAATTGCCATTTTAATGAAGTGTATTATGTTTACGAATAAAAGAATTGAATTAATCTGATTAAAATAAATGACTACTAATATATAAATATTTGAAATAGCTGTCTCGAGTCAGTTTTACACACTCAATCACTGAGAAAACTAGAACAAATCTTATATTATGGTTTAACATTTATTTCACGTTCATCACTCATTAACAAACAAATAGTAGAGCTACATTTGTTTAATTGGTCAATGACATACATTTGTAATTATATCATTGTTGTGTGTAAGAATGATAATGTCTTTATCTTTGTTGTTATTCATGGCGCGTGTTCACGTCAACATTGACATTATGCATTTTAAAGCAGGATAAAACATGTAATACAAAACTATACTAAAGATGAATAATGCTGCATTATTTGCCTGTATTATCCCATTTTAAATGAAAATTAATTTATTTATTTCTTTGAGCAATCTGCTTTATTTTAAATATGATAAATTATAAATATTTGCACATGTATAAACAGGTCATTATACCGACAAAATACAGTGTAATGGTTTAGAAAATCCTTTCATTCACATTTAAATATTTGTTTAACTTCACAAGTAAAAGTTAGCGTATTGAATTGTTTGGATTTCTAGGCTGTTTAAAATGCGTTTTAGTTATTTTCATAACAGATAACATTCCATTAGTCAAAAGAATGTAAAACAGGATGGTCTAAAAGTAGATTAACACTCAAAAACCTTGATAACCATTACTGTGCATGTATACACTATCAGGTAAAATTCGCATAGAACATTAGGCGCGTTGTTACCCATATGATGATTAGTGACGATTAATTAAACACAGAAAAACTTAAAATGCAAATATACAAATGATATATAAGAATAAATTTGTTCATATCAAATTTTACATCATGTTTGATAAGATTATAGCCAATTTTTATCTTACTAGGAATTGATGTGATAAATTTTGGCTATGACCTTATCAATCATGATGTAAAATTTGATGAATAAATGTATGCTTATATATCATTTGTATATTTCAACTATAGGTTTTTCTGTATAACATAAACTTAAAATTAGTTAAATAATTTATTTCATGCATTAACATGTTTTGGCACAGTTTATCCAAATATTAATTTCTTTTTGAAATTATCTCTGGGAACAAAAAAATCAACAAATATGTTTACCTCATATATATTAGTATATTTGTACGCTTGTAAATTGGATAATAATTTAAGTACCTAGACATAACATTATGTTTCAAATGAAATACTTCATCTTGTGCAATCTAATGGTCATGACATTTATATGTCGTGAGAATATGCCAAAATATTCAAATAATTTAATCCAGTTTGTAACTAGTTTGTTTATGAAACTCGCCCAAGACAACGGTTATTTAGCTCACCAGAAGCTCGCTTTATAAAATTTTCCTGAACTCTTTTAATAAAGGTTAAATGAAATGACTACTGATGTCGAGAGGACCCTCTCTTTATTTATATACATTCTCCTCGTCACCTGCTTTACCTAATATACACTTGTTTCTATTGAACAATTACACTGATTTTATTCTCAGAAACCTTAAAAATGGTGAATATATTTTTTTCCACAATTTTAAAAAGCAAATCTCTAAATTGTTTTCCTTTTCATTTTATTACATGTCGTTATTACCTGTCGTCATTTCATAAACTCTACTATCGTACGACTTAATTCATTAAACATATATCTTGTTGTTTTTTTTTCGTCACTGGTTGCGCATGAATGTACTCGTCGTACCATATAGGGAAACTAAAATGGTATAAAATGTGTTAAGATATCAAATTACAACTATTTCAATGGGCGGTCTCAATTTTCCGTTTATTCGAACTCGTAAATTTCAGCGTATGGTCCATCGTCGAATAATGAAGTATACACGTGATTGGTGAATATAAAATGCGGAAATGTATACATGTTTACATGTCAGCACTACAGAACACTACTTCAAAGTGAAAATATGACTTATAGATCTTACGTAATATCATTGTTTATCATAGTCTATGCTACGACAGGATATGACAATGAAATACAAATTAAATAACTGACACCATGGTATTATAACATAACGTCTCATTTATAATTTGAAGAATAGGTGCAAAAGTCCTTAAGTTGTACAGCTATTATTTTGACGTTTTCAACTTTTGTAATTTTCATACTTAGTATTTCGTTCTGCTTCGAACGTTTTTTTATACTCCGTTGTCTCATCGTTCTGGTCTATACTAGATTAAAATGGTTCATATGATATTACTTTGACCTTTATAAATGTCATTGTTTCCACCAAGATTCATGTTTTCACCAAGGTGCCCGATCGTGTTTCCACCAAGGAGCCCAGTCATATTTCCATTGACATTTCAATAACATTTTTTATTCCTCCCCCCTCTAAAAATTGGAATATTACGAGTTTGGCAACTTGACTATATTAAGGTTATAGTATTAAGGTTTGTCGTGACAACACGCAATTGCGTTTCTCGCCAACTTGTCATGCTATTTCTTGGTCGAGTCAAAACGGATAATTGTAATAGGCAGTTTATTTTTGTATCAAAACTAATTTGCATACCAAATTCACAACACAAGCTTTAACTGATATGTTATTTAAATTTTGTTTTTCAAAGTCATTATCGCAACAAGTGTCTTTAAAATGTTAACGATTATTTTCATTATTTGTTAACACTGATTGAGGGAAGTTTTACAAAATATATAATATAAATTTACTCATAATGGTGATATATATGGTGTAGTGAAAAGTGAATAATAGTTTTTCTGTGAAGTAAAATCATTAAGTGTATGAATGTATGGGTTATTCATTGGTACTGCGTCACTGCTGGTTATTTATTTGCATACAGTTGTTATGTTACGCCGATGTATATCTCGGCATGGGGTGGGTTAAACGTTTACCCTATATCTTACGGCATAGTTCATGCAATATAATCATAATATGAATATTTCAATATCAAATAACATTTACAATTTGCCGTGAGTATTATTTTCGTCAACATGAAACAGTTTCAAATATTTCTGAAATAAGTTTGATGTATTTGACATTTATTCGTAGGAATTAGAAAAGCAAACCCCTTTTTTGTATTTCTTCATTAGGAAGATTTAGGAGTAAATGAAGTTGATTACAAATAGACAGTTTCATATTAAATTTCTGAATCGTGAAAATCACAGTTTCTTGATCGTGTAATCGTCTATTTGACTTATTTGAGACAATTATAAGAGAGTGTCATGTATCATTATCATTATTCGACGACAAACGCTATCATCAAAAAGAAGAGAAACAAGTATATAAAGCATAAACACATAATTTAAGAAAACTTATATGATATACAGTGATTCAGTATTTTACCCGCCTCATAAATAGCGTTTGTTTGCTTCCATAACAAAATTTAATATAACGAATTATATATGACACCTTTGATTTGATATTTTGAAATGTAAGCTCGTTGATTTGTTTTGTGCAGGTGGACAAAGTAGCGTAAGGTTGTTTGAACCCGCCCCTCCAAATCTGTATTGTGTAAAGTTTAAACGTTCCACCACAAAAAAACAAAAACAAAAAAGCAACCAAACAAACATATATAAAACGACCTTTAGTCGTATATCCGCTTGCACTGGCAAAGCAGGACAAAATAGAAGTCAGTTCAGAACCACGATTATACTACGTAACAACGTATCTGAACATTTGCAATGGATTGGTACACGAAACCAAACTCCAAGTTTTAAAGATCCTGTAACACAATTTTTTCATGGTTTTATTTCATAAATATGATGCTAAAATTAAGATTGGTCCATATTGTAAGTTCCAATAAGCATTATTTATAAAGATATTACCCAATTTAACATTTCATGTAAATTTAGGGAGGTAATAAGAAATTTATTTCTATAAAATCTAAGTCAAATTTTCCAATAAGAAATGAATGCATGTAATTTATTGATTAAATATAATGTGCACAAACATTTGCAGTACACATTTTACATATTCTTCAATGTTTGAAAATTGTTTTATTTGCATAATTATACACATATATAACTTTTTGCAAGTGCGGTATACACACAGTAACAATATCAATCACAAAACATACATGATCTTTCATTCATATGAGGTGATTTTAAAATAAGTTATCGTAAATACGATATCATACTATATTGGGTCATACGTGACGGAAAGTTAGCTTTGAATAACATAAACACTTTGATGTTAAAATCAACAGCAGTTTAAATTTCATTCTCTGCACTTCCATATATAAATCCATTAAGTGATACTTCACGGTCATTTTTTTACAACTGATTGAATTTACATTTTAATTCACAATATTCAACAGCACGTTGCAGTTTATGCAAAAAAGGTTTTTTATAATCAACCATCAAAATGAGTTCTTGTTGCGAAGGGAATTAGGTTGAATAAAAACTGCAAAAGGTAGAGGCATTTCACAACGAATGAGATCTTTTATAAAGTTTTTTTTCTAGAATGATAATAAGGGTGCATAGTCTATAACATAATTTTACAAAAGAAAAATTAACTGGTGCCCTTGAGCACGTGATTTTCATTAAGATTCGATATGGAAATTCTTGTTTTGTCTGACCATCTAAATTTATGGTGCCTGTTTTATTCATATAAAGAACCTAAGTTGAACATTATTTTACATTACTGTACATGTGCATTGTTTTTTACTCCTGTAAATGCTCCGAAATACTATTTCGTAATACACGCATATTTACTTATTTGCGATTTATTTCAAAGATTAATCATGAATATTGTCATGTCTCCATCTGAAATATAAACCGAAATAAAAGTACGACTAAAAACAATTGTCCACACGTTGAACATTATAACTATTCTAATAATCTCATTTTATTGAAATTGAAAGAACGACGGCATATAATGATGCATAATTTAAACCTATAAATCATTGAATACAACCCCATTAACTTGTCTATGTTCAAAATCAACCATGTTTTTTTTTCTTTACAAGATATATCATTTACTTATATTGCGTCATCGTCACTATTCATTAGGATAAAGTTGTCATGCAACAGCGATGTTTATTGATACAAAACCAATGTGGGCTGGTTATACTGTTCAGTTTCTATAACTATGATAGATCTAATAAATCAGATATAGCACTTGTCGGCTAATTAAGAAAGTGGGATATCGTTACGAAACTAACTTATTTAACCAAAATTTCAATGAATTAAAGAAATATCACGATGCATTATTTTTCCACATTTCACAACATTTAAGGATGTTTTGAAATCTTATCTAAGCTGAAATAATTCTAACAATATATAAATAGAACTCATCGAAAACATTTAAACAAGTACATAACATTATTTTTTAAATGATAAATGAATTATAAGAACAATGTTAAGCTTTTTAACTTCTCTGAAAAAAAGAAAAAGCCGGACCTACATTTTGTATATTTTTTGTACTAGGAAGGGATATTAGTATGTCTACAAATATATTGACCTTATATTTAAATTTCAGACTGTCTTCAGAACACAGATGGAAAAAATGGTGAAGGTAAAATTTTACTTGAAGATGAAAGTGACAAAAATGATGTTGGTAAAGATACTGAAAACATTTTGCTCTCAAGACCGAAACCTCAGAGAAGTAGGGCAGTTAAACCTTCCCTTACATTCCATAGGATAAATATTAATGTGAATAGAAACAGAAACACTTACAGAAAAGATTATCGTAATAGCAACAACAGTAAACAGCGACATGCATCTAGACTGAAAGGACATAAGGAAGGAAAGTTTAACAATGCACATCATAATACAACAGTTAATGCTCATACAAGAAGGAGCAATGCTAAAGCTGATAGTAATAAAAGTGTAGGACAAACAACAACGCTTTCCCAAAAAATAAAAACCAAGAATACCAAAGACGTCACAATATATAACGCAAAGGAGGAAAACTCCAAAACCAGTAAAGCTCAAAGTATAGCAGGGAAAGACAGAGATAGCAATCATCGTACAGAAAGCGACAACAATCACCGTGCTAAGAACAGAGACAGGACAGATGTCAGCTCGAAAAACAATGCACATGCAGTGAACACCGAAAATGCTTATGTTAAAACTGACGAAACTTTTATTGCAAAATCGATTGATGACAAAAATGACGAGTTATCACTTCATAAACAAGAAATAAACTCAAAATCAAAACAGAAAAAGTTGTCTGACAGTAAAGGTCTTATAGATAAAAGTCAATTATCGAAAAATCAAGAACTGATAAAACTAAACCCGACTGGCATTACTAATTTGAAATCAAATGGTAACACTTTAGATAAAACATCAACTGATTTTGGAGACAAAACATTTAAAGATACTAATTATAAGCTTATTGATCACGATGTAGCAGCAGGAAATGAGACATATAGTGAACAAACAACTGTTTTAAGCTCTGGTAAGAAATCGAAAAGTGGCAAAAATGACCAAAAAGAAACAGCCAAAAGAAAATCAGAAAGTGGTTATAATGAAAGAGAAAATAAAAAGTATTCGTTGTATATTTCCACTGAGAAGCCAAACGATGAGAAAAATGTAGATTATGTACTGCCGAGGAGGTTGAAAGATCGATGGTCCAGAAAAGGTTTAAGTCAGGTTCCGGACGTGGAACGACTGGTAAGTTCTTAAACTGTTGTAATTATCTATTCTTACTCAAACCAGAACTTCATTCCTACCAACAACATGAATATCAAATAGTGTATATCAACGAGGTTATATATAAGTGTAGAGTAATCATAACACTATTGCAGTGAAAAATGATGCCCAAAGAATACGAATATCAGAAAGATTTTTCATTCGATATTTTGTAGAAATGTTCATCTTCCTACGTGAAAATTAAGAATATTGTTATAGCAAATAAAGACGTGAATGGGGTAATGTTTCAAACTACTTTCAGAGTAAGTTTAATGTTTATTGTTTACAGGAACGACGTCTTCATCCAACTGTAGATGCCCCAGTCAACGATATTATACGTTCAATGAAGAACATGCTCCGTCTTATTCAGTCAACTCTCTCCAAGGTAACTCGCATTCTGTTTTTATGCAAAATAGCTTAATATCATATACAATGTATATGGTTGTACCATTGACCCTGAAATGATATATCGCGAGTTGATACATTATTTACAAACTATATATTTCCTACTTTTATCCAATTTAAGCAGACATTTTCAGCTATATTTTTTAATTACAACGTGTCATTTTATAAGAATAATTTACATTTGTATTATGAAAAGAAATAAATGTTATTTCTAATCATTTTGTTCAGGTTGATAAGGACTTTGTGATGATCCAGAATACAACAAGATGGAAGTATATGTTAGGAGTTAGAAACCAGCTGAGTGAGTTAGCACAGGAAAACGACGGGATTTATGGTATATACAAAGACAGAAATTACTTGCAATCAACAATTCAATTTTATCCATATACTTTAAAATGTTGTCACCGTATGCCTTAATGGTCCATATGTTCTTGCAAATATACGAGGGACGGTCAGAAAATATCCGGACTTTTCATGCTCCTCTCTTTCCACGTGCAGCTATATACACATATTATATATTTGTGAAAATTACATTCATTTGCCAATAACGTGGTCAGTTTATTTTCAATGATAGTTGTGTATACACAGTATTTTGCCCTCTGATATATGATAGGTGTTTCGTCTATCATGGACTCTTTGTTAGAGGAATAACGCTCTGTAATAAAGTTTCTGGTTGCAGAAGGTGAAAAGCCCTGCCACATCTTTCAGATGCTTAAAAAGATTTTCTGATAAATGTGTATCACGTTCAACCTTCTACAACTGGGTTTCTCAGTTTCGTGAAGGCAGAACAAGTGTTTGTGACAGGCCTAGGACTGGGCGGCCAGCTGAGGCGGTGACCCCAACAATGGTAGCAAAAGCTTTTGTCAACAAAAGTCGTCGAGTAACTTTGGAGGAGGTAGCCAACAAGTTTAGCATCGGTAAGGCATCGACACACAAGATTTTACACGAACACCTAGACATGAGCAACGTAAGTGCCAGGTGGGTGTCTAGACAGCTGTCCGCAGATCAAAAGGCAACCAGAGTAACCAATGCAAAAGAACATTTAAGTCGTTTTAATCGTGAAGGAGATAAGGTTTCGAACCGCATTATCACTGGAGATGAGATGTGGGTTCATTATTCCGAACCTGAGACAAAAGCTCAGTCAAAGCAGTGGAAACGAGCTGGTTCCCCACCTCCTAAAAAGTTTAAGCAGTCTCCTTCGGCTGGCAAAGTCATGCTTGTTGCCTTTTGGGATTCACGAGGAATGATGCTTACTCATTTCATGCCAAAAGGTCAAACTGTCACCGCCAAGTATATTCTGAAGTAATTCATTTTTTTTTAAATGTTGAATGGTTTTCAAGAACGAGTCAAAAGTCCGGATATTTTCTGACTTCCCCTCGTACCTTCCCTTTTTGTGTTGACATAAACAAAAAATTTCACATCTCATCTTAACGACACGTATAGTAATGTGTTGGCATTTAAACAATAATTATATCATAATAATGTTTACAGATATAGTTATGGAATCATCATTGCTGACTAAGCAGATATACCGACAAGCACACGAGCGGAAACATCCTAGGTCAGACATTGAAGCCGTGGCTGTAGCATATAGATCCAGGCTTAATACAAACATGAACCCTCAAATACGGGAAAACTTCAACGCTGCACAAACAGAACTCGAACTGGCAAAACAACTTATTGATCAGATCAATAGCATACAGAAGTATGTAGGTTCTTTAAGAATGAGAGAGAATTAATTTCTTTTGAACATATATTATCTAATTGGTGTTTGCGAACTTTAATAAAAACTAGTAAATTTCAACCACAAAATACGTGTTTGATAAGTTAACTTGTATGTCCCTTTTTATTTTAAAGGAACTCCACTGAGGTTTGTAAGGCTAAAAACATAAAATTTTAATTTTTCATACAGATCAACATGAGCACTTAAAACAGAAATATAAATAAAATATTACTAAGAAATATACAAGAAATACATTGAAAATTGTATGTGTGTGCTATTCTCAGTCCGATTTGAGTGAAAAGCGTTTAAACGCTTTTCAATTTTGGGTCAATTTTCACTATTATAATAATTATTCTGGAAAAACGGAGCGAGCTAATGATCTAAAATTTTGCACATAAGTTATTAGTATAAATGTTCATCAAATGGAATAATAATCTCAAAAAATTATTTCCAGTCCCGCCATGTCAAAAAACCTCAGTGGAATCCCTTTAACATATTTGTAATGAAGAGAGATATAATATTTTGATATCTAAATCGATGTGAACTGCTCAACTTATTCGTGAAAAAGTTAGTAAATTACATATATCTCTCGGGGCGTCAAATACTTTTTATTCGGCAATTAATGTGTTTTTATCAATTCATATGTTTGTATAGGTGAATACTTTTTCACCTCCTTTTAACTTCTTTATAATGACGTTTATTTTCCAAACTTTCCCCCGGACGATCACATGATATACGTCTTTATGTTTTGCAGTTTTGTGCGTTCTTTAGGGATTCTGTTCTTTCTTTTTTATGTTTGTTTAATTTTGCTTATTTTATTTGTAAAACCCTATTACTAGTAATTATAATCAAATAATAGTTCCTATTCAAAGTATTCTGTAATAATATTACGTTACTTAACAAAGTTATTGTCCTAAAAACGTTGTACAATATTCATTCATCTTCATTTAATGTTATGAACTTATTTTCACGGATCGATTTTCTTTGTCATAATGCATAAAACATATATATTTTAACCAAATATGACCGGCTAAGTTCCGAAATGTCTATGAGTATGGGTAACATAATGTTTAATGTTACAGACAGAAAGACCTTTTGTATGAAGAAGAGATGCGAATACAGCAACTTGCAAGGGACAGACTACCAATGCGGACGTTGCATGATCTACATAGGAGAGCCGATCAAACTATCAGAGTACTGACTGCAGCACAACCACTGTCAAGATATGGGGACAGAAATAAACTTTATATGGTAAATAATTATTTTCAGCAAATGAATATTTAAGTCCTGCGTTTATACTCATCATGTTTAACTTAGTTTACTACATGCATCCGGGTCGTATGAACATAACTGCGGATGTTTCTAAATTCAAAAATTCACATATTCATGATTAAATGTCGAATTCTGATTTGGGCGGTGATGGGGGCGTGGACGGTAAATTGCATTTTCCAGTACCGTTCATCAAACCGAGCCTACAAAAGTTTCAATATTGTCGCTTTGGGCGTTCTTCAGCGATTCTGTTTTTCCTGTTTTATCAAAATGCCGTAAAATATCGTGCTATCTGAAACATATTTAAAAAGGATATTACTTGAAGTATTTAAGATTATTCATAGTACCATTACAATTCACATACAAACACTTTGATAAAGATATCATTCAACTACAAAAACATTTAACACCAGGGAATTGAAAGGTTCATATCGTTACTTTGCAAATAATTAAAGCACGTATTATTTTGATTGCATAATGCAGTTTCTGTATTTTTCCTAATGTTTGCATCTTTTTGGTCAATGCCCTTTTATAGTCAACGGTGTTATATATGTTATGTATGACACGTGATTAAAATACTTATTTTCTTTAACTTTGAGCCTGCTAGTTGCAATAGCTAATAACTATGCGACCAGTGCAGTTCTAGATTTGTCGGCACATCCGCTGTCTGATTTCGTTACACACTCGGCACATATTTTAAAATATAAAATAGAAACAGAACAGAATATATCAATGAATAGTTTTGTCAAAACTGAAATAAATAGGCAAGTCAATTTAAGATATTTAGCGCGGACGAACGAATATAATGTTGTATGATCGTGTATGTTTCTGTAATTTCCTTTGTATTTTATAAATGTTGTCATCTTTTCCGTTTCAGCACATGAGAAATGACAGTACTTTAAATATGAGAAGAGCAAACGAACTTATCGTGGAAGGATTCGACTTATTGATGCATGCAAAACGTGTCTTACTGGTATGACAATATTTTTACTTCATATATTGATATTTGTCAACAAATATACGAAAGTGATCTGTTTGAAATTAAGACAGATAGGAATTTGAAATATATTTTACGTTTGGGAAGGAATAATCAAACAAATTTAGGAAGAGCTAAATGCAATCTGTTTTGACTCTTTTATCCGTACAGTTTTCCTCTTATTTATCAATTCATGTGTTTTTCGTCTCGCATATAACTTCTTTGTAGGGCTAATCTAATTTGTCAAATTTTGTTGACTCGTGTAATATGATACAATTTAGGACAACCGTAAAAAAGTACAAGATCATTCTCGTCTAATGCGGAATAGACTACCTGCAAGTTCAGTCTCTGATATGCCGTTTAATTCTGGTAGGATGGAACTGTTTGTGGCGTCTGATACGGCCAATCATCATGCAAACAGTTTGGCAGAAACCGCAGCTGAAATCCACATGTGAGTGATGCTATGTAGTGTTTTCTTTTGTCGTTGATTGTATTGTTTTTGTTATCTGTAGCTACCTCCATTATAGATTAAATAGATTAAATAAAGAGGAGAACATTTCGACATACTGATTTACTGTCGATAGCATCTTTTGATTAATAGAAGTACTAAGTTTATTATGACGATACTTATACACAAATTAACTGAACTAGGCAAGTACTTTTTCTTATGTTGGCTTCTTAGATATATTATTTACTAACAATAATGTATTTTTATATTGATTTGATTTTTGTTTTAAATTCAAGGAAAATCGTGCCACTAATGAAAAAAGCAAAAGAAGTAATTGCCAATAATTCAGGACTTAAATTCAAGAAGCGACTAGAACAATCTATGGATGAAATGAAAGAAACGGTGAAGGTATATCACTCGTTTACAAGAAATATATTTCAATATTTCGTAATTTTGTAACTGAAAATATATCAAACTTGTTTTCTCAGACAGTAACCCTTGCAGGCAGTCAATTTATTTATCTATTCTTTAATACTGTCTAGTATTGATTTAACTGTCTTTTTATAACAGGATGTCCTTAAGAATTACTTACGCACTAAAATGTCTTAATTTGACAAATAAGAAAGTTCTTTTCTTTATTGTACCACCTATTATCTATTTTAGATTATTCTTGTGAAAACAAATCATCATCTTGTTAATTACAATTGTATATGTGACTTATTTCGTGTTTGTCAATAACAAAATTGTACGCGTATTTTATTTGGAATAAATATCATATTTACATCAAAAATATCAAAACGGCACTTTTCTAATAGTTACTACATAGCATATATGTATGTTCTACAGCTAGTTAGCGGACATTTTATATCCATATAGATCTAAGAATATCTTATGATTTTCAAAATGAATAGATAAAATATAAATGTTTCAATATTAAGCAATTGACTATAATAATTTGTAAGTTCTGTGTACAGTGTGTACTTTTGCGTCTAGCACATTTGAGACGCGTCATGACAAAACCTACATAGTGCGTTTGCGACCAGCATGGATCCAGACCAGCCTGCGCATCCGCGCAGTCTGATCAGGATCCATGCTGTTCGCTTACAAACCCTATTACAAGTAGAGAAACTGATAGCGAACAGCATGGATCCTGATCAGACTGCGCGGATGCGCAGGCTGGTCTGGATCAATGCTGGTCGCAAACCCATTATGTTGGTTTTGTCATGACGCGGCTCATTTTCTCAAGCGGAGTATAAGAAATAGTTCAGATACATGTATATTAACATTTAATTACAGAAACTTGTTGTTACTCTTGATGAGATAAGACTAGTGATTGGAGTCGAAGAAATTATTGAAGATCGATGTGAACATATATTGTCGGGTGATGGAAGATTTGAATTTGATAGAGATAGCTCAATCAACTGTGTACCGTATATTACTGTCCAGAGTAGTGGAGATTATATAGGTATTTTCCTACTTTATTAGCGGTTTATTATGGTTAATACAATTTTTATCGACGACGGATGTTCTCTTTTAAGAACTTATATAATCATGTTTATCATACTCGATGTGTATGCTATGCTTGCTGCACTACGGATGTAAAATCTTGCCCGAACTCTTTTCAGTGTCTTATCTTTCATCTCAGTGAGTGTATTGCATTTCTGGTCGTTTTGTTCAATCAATAACATTATTTCCGATGACTCGCTCCTTATATTTTCTTTTTTTCTCTGAATGCGTTTTTAAATTCAGATACCTTATTTGAAACAATTCTGTTAACTATCATATAAATAAGACAAAAGAAATATGTAGTATTCACCTATATCAAAAGCCCTTTATTGACATACTAAAATACTGAAATAATTTTAAATTTCAAATCTTTTTTTATGCACTCTTTGTTTTGAGAGTATTGATGAATCAATTTGTTATGTACTCATCAACATGCGTAAAATGCTATAACGAAAGCAATTCGTCCTAGTAATTGTTATAAGTTTTCGGCAGTGGTGGTATTAGGTCTATACATGCACCATTCTATAGTACAAAGAAACGTTTACTCTATATATGTTGTCATATAAGTCTGGAGTTTTGATTTTTGAAAATGACAGAAAATAAAGTTCTTAGATTACTTTATTTACATTTTTTTCCAGATGGATCAGGAGACGACGACGATACATTTATCGACTTGGAAGCGAATATCACAACATTGTATAAAAACATTACTAACACTAATGCTACTCTTGATGAAACTTTTATTGACATCGATGAGCCAATTCCAACAGACACAGTTGTAGATATTGACATAACTGAATCTAAAGAATCGTCTATTGATATTGGCAAAGAACTTTCATCAGTTGATATTAAAGCAGACATAGTAAATGAAACTGCAAAAGTCTCCCCTATTGATGTAGATATATCAAAACCTAATAACAATATAAGCGACAGTGAAATACCAAAACAAACCACAGAAAGTCCAAAGTCGTCAACAGGCAAAGTCCTAACAAAACAAGCCAGCAAGTTTGAAATTAAAACTACACCAGTTAGTAATTTTGTCGATACCGATGACGAAGACATTGCTCAAGGTTTTATTTATTTACTTTCAATACTTAGCAGAATTTTAGAATTAAATCTCGGACAATTAAATTATGATAAAAATTATATTACGAACAACACCGTAAACAACTGTTTATTTGAAGATACTAATCAAAATTGGCTTTAATGTTGCAAATGAGTAAACACAATCTTAATATACTTTGTTGATGATATTTCATTTCAAGAGAACTGGTAGACTTATAACAAAACGTTCCGATGTTTTTAATTCTTCATTATTTTCATTCAATTAGAGTTAAAGCGTAAGACGACAAAGACAACACTTGCCACCACTACAACAACTCCCGCTACTACAACTGATGCAACAAAAAAGCCTGCAGAAGGATCGGATGAAGATCTGTTCTTTGATCCTTTTGGTTGGTTTAACGATGAACCGGATGGAAATTCAGTAGTAGTTGATTCTGAATATGACAAAATTGGTTTAACTTCTGTCCTAGTGAACATGACATTAAGTACGTAGCGATTCTTGTTTTGACTAAGTTTTGAACTAATGAATCTCTTGATGTTTTACTCTTAATTTTAAGGTCCTATTAATTTCTTAGTAATAAGAATTATCATATATATAAATCAACTGCGACAACAAAGTAATTAAATAGGTAAAGTGTTTACAACAGACGTTGGGTGTGACTGTAGTTTTTACCAGTTACAATTCCCATTTTGAATAAAGAGTATTCGAATTGCCTTATACCTTTTCCCAAATGTTAGAAGTGAACTGACAGAAACGTAGTTCAGGAATACAATTCAACCCTTTCTCCTGACTTATTATTACATTGGAATAACGATATTCTAAGGTAATGTTTCTCCTAATTTTCAGATGAACATATTCGCCAGCGCCTGTATAACTATTCACAGGACAGTAAAATGTTATTTGATCAGGCAAAGGGAAATAAATCAAAGATCGATGGTAAATAACTTATTTGGTAACTGTTAGCAAATTTTAAGTATTAACCGTTTGAATTCAATTATGGATTCACCCTACTTTTAGATTTGAAGCAGTACATTTGAAAATATCAAAAACAAAAATAAATGGAGCTACTAACAATATAAAAAGAAAAACAACGGAATCGCTAAAGAAAGTCCAAAACGGAAAAAATGAACATATTGCAGGCTCGGTTTGATTGCGCCTGTCATGGGCAGTAGTGGTAATGGATGCTACCGTCCACGCCCTCTAGTCTATCTAGTTTGTCTATAATGATGAGTAAAGTAACACGAAATTTAATTGTTATATTTACTGCATGTCAATGAAAACATGATTCTCTTATCTTTGAACTTTTATCTGAGGAACTACTATGGGGTAAATAGAATGCCATATTCGTACATGTATATCTAAATCTTTTTAACGCACGAGATAAATCAAAGACTCTTGATTATTTTTAAGAATGTACCTACACCCATTAAGTATTCTATATTTCCTGAGCAATTTAGTTTGTTTATCTTAAAGTTTTTTTTAAAAATAATTTAATAACTCATTTATATAATCAATACACGTAATCATTTGTAGCTTCTTGTAAGATAATCGGTTCCAACTTATATCTTTAGAAATAAGTCTAACATGGCAGAAGGTTCAGACCAGATTTGGACATCTAGAAAACAAGACGCAAAGCGCTAAATCTCTTATAATCGAATGGAAGGCAAATAAGGCGTACTTCAGATCTGTGCACAGCAGAGTTAAAGACGCTAAAAAGGACTTGAGGTTGAAGGTACGTATTATTTGTTGCTATTCCGATTTGATTAAACATCACGTTATGCATACCTTTAAGTTTTCTGATTATAATTATAAACGTAAGCGTAGATAGTATTTTAAAATATATTATGATGTATTAGTTGATGTGTTCACAATAAAACTAAAAGAAGCAAATGTGATGTTGAATTGATCGAATGTTATTAAGATTTTCCTTTCCTACTTATGATAAATTCACAATATAAGAAATGACCGTTTTTTGTAATTAGAAAGAAGTTATAGAAAAGCAATGTAAAGATGCAGTAGATGTTGCTGATAAGAAGCATAAAGATATGACAAAACTACATAAGAAACGAACAGAGAAAGCACAAAACGCTCCTGACATTAAAGTCGTCAACGAAACATTTACTCAAGGTATCAGATCTATGTAGTTTTTTAGCAATTAGTTTTGGTTGTAAAAACATTTAACATAGAGTTGACTATAATTTACATTATACATTCCAGAAAATCGGAATTTTTATGTATGTTTAATATAAGATTGCTGATTATCTAAACTATTATCATTCATATAGGTGTACAAACGTAAATGAAATATTTTTCAAAACAAAATACTCCAGGTTGTTGTGTTTGTTAGTTGGCTGTAATGTCGATTATGAAAATTTGAGAATATAATACACTATTATGACTGGGAATTCAGCCATTTAGTAAATTATTCTAATGGAAGCCAAACATTCCCAACGTTTTAATGTAAGATCAACATATTTTACAATGTGATTCATTTCGAGTCATATGTACTCAAAATAGCTTTAAAACAATTTGCTTTACGTTAATCATAAGGTGATTGAATTTTAGTTAAAGTTGTTTTGGACAATGTGAAGGAAATCAACCGTTTGAAACAGCTGTATCCTAATCCCTGTAATATACTGGAACGACTCGATAAAAAAATCCGGACGAATATCACAGAACTTCGGCAGAAAATAGAGAGAGCAAAATTAATTGCTTCTACGCTACAGGTAAGAAGTTCACGTCTTTTGCATAAAAAATTTTGTCAAAATATCAAGCAATTCTCACACGAAACACAAGTAACGTTATAAGAAGTGACCGAAGAACGCGAATATGTTGATATGATTTTTTTCAAATTTTGATCCGCCGGCTTGTCACTAAATTATTGTAACCGCGGGTTTTTGTTGACATGATTTTCACTTATTCATAATTTTGTTACGTATACCGCATCTTGTTATCTTGTTTTGTTCAGTTCGTTTTTAATTGAAAATATTATGTTAAAAATTAAACAAATAAAAGTTTAAAGTTGGAATAAGAGTTGTATTGATTCCAGCGTAGTAACGAATGCTTCAAGAAATGAGTATTCAAAGTAAATGACTAACAGCTTCGTTATATACTGATAAACATGCACCTTAAGAGAACAGAAATTCATGTCACCATTTTGTAAATGTACATCTGATTTATAATAATAATCTTAAAGGTTGCAGTAGCGGTACCGAAAAAAGAATATCTCGAATTTCCAATTACTAGTGAGAACCAACCATTGACGTCTGAGGTACAAATGATGTTTAAACATTCCGGATCTGATGGCAGACTTATGTCTTTACATGTCGGGGAATATGTGAGTTTTTTAATAAAATACATATAAATAATTTCATGTTTGATAATATAGATAAGACAAAATTTCCGTAACTAAGCATAATTTATATAGCGGTATGCACATTGACATTGAAATGGGTATGATGCATGGGTAAATTGAAATATACAAAGTATACAAATATGTACATCAGCACATCAAGCTGCATATACTTGTTTAAGTTTAACACTATTAAATGCAAGATACAATTTTTAAATGCACATGTTCCTTCACTTATTTAATATGTATATTTATCTGTTGCAACCCCATCGTGGATATGCATTCTAAGTAATATGTTATGTCATCAGGTAAACATACAGAACATTATTCACTACTAGTTATTTTAAACAACTGTAAAACATTCAAGCAGCTTACCCACCTTACCAATATTTGTTACATTTTTGTTTGGGAGTGCCTTTCCTGTCCAGTGTTGCTGGTAGCTTGCAAATACCGTTACCGCCCATGGGCTGGGTCAATGCAACATTTCCAAATTTGCGTCTGTATTTTGATATTGTTGGCTACTGCGTCGTATTTTATAGTTGATATTTGTATCAATATACTCAAAAAGTGTACATTGTGACTTCAGGAGTCATTGTCGTTAGATGTGGAGTCAGATACGCTCAAAGTGGTTCAAACGCTTGATGGGGATGAAAGTAGTCATACTCTGTATGAGGAAGAAATTCCAGATAAATGGTATCTTATTCAATTACAAAGGTAATATATTGTGGCCCTGTTTCTTTAAAATACAATATGGAATGTTTGATTTCTTTGATAATGTAAACTTAAGTTTACGATATTATCGAGTTAAATAGCACCAGTGTTAATGCATCCAGTGCTACCGTCTTAAATTTTGGTAAAATCTAATGTTCAAATTTCAGTTTTACTGAAATATGTATTTGCAGTTTACAACTATCAAAGACGATATTGTTTCATAGCTTTATCTAGTTTAAAATAAAATCATTTGCGATAAAGTTATGAGTACCGTTTGGAAAATAACTATTAAATTTCCAACAGATTTGCAGCCAGCTATAATTTCACAATGTATGGAGAGAATGGTTTGCTTCGACAAGTAGGATTCCCAAGTTCTTCAGATAGCCAAAGGACATTTACGCCTGATCTTCAACCAACGACAGTTCGCCTAGGAGCTACAGGAAATGATCTGACTGCTTGCGCTTTAGGATTTGAAATAAAAGGCAGGAGAATTAATATGTTTGACATGGCTGATAATTATAGCCTTTTGACTCCGTGTTCATCTCAAGGGTAATGAAATTATTCATTGTTTATTGTACTACTAGTATTAAAATGCATGTTGGACACATATTAAATCTTTTTGAAGATGATCTAATTTGTGATAATGTGATATTACATGTGTAGTGAAATACAATGTTTGAGATGAAGCAATCGATTTTGTTATAACCAAATGTATTTTAAATCTACCATTATGTTTTAGTATTTTTTTATTTAAGCGGATGACGGGTAAATGTGTGTGTGTGCGTAGTCCTAAAATCCACTAAATCTAAGATAGCCAAAACATGTAAAGACGTTGTAGTTTTACAATCAATTTTTCAGAAAATGGAAGGAACAGCAACTTCTGCTGGATGGATCTGGATATGCTGTAGTTAGGTTAAGAGATATAAAGACATTAAGATCATTACAGTCAATAAAAATAGCATTTAATCCACGTTCAGATGGAACGGTTATTTACCTTCAGCCTGAAGGAATGGTAAGTTGATTTTGATTTTACGCAAGTAAGACTCGAGGCTAAAATTATTCATGCTCATTACAAATGGCAGGCCCCCCAAGAGACCCATCGAACTGACAGAAATATTATCAGTTTCCCAAGTTACAAGCCTATATTACTGAAGAACGTTAAATAAAATGCTTAGAACACTCGACGATTGATATGCATTTCATTTTTTTTTTTCAACTGATTTTAATTCCTTGGAGTATTTTTTTGTTACATTCAAAGAAAGTACTAATAAAATGAATAATGTGTTTACTACTGTATATGACGCTGTTACAGAATATTTAAATCATGAATGAATACATTTGTTTACAGTCTACGTCAGTTGATGTGTATGTTGAGAATGGGTTCCTTGTGGTATTTGTACATTATCGTGGTTTCGAGACTAAGCTTAAAAGCACTCTGCAAGTTTACAGTCAAAATCATGCTCTTGAGGTAAAGTTATATATAATCTTCAATTATATAAAACTATTGATAATTATACACATAATAATAGTAGACGTGATTATTTGATAATTATTACTATATTGCGGACACCGTCTGTTGACAATTACCGTCGATGAAACAATACCATTTACAAACAGTAATATGAAAATAAGTGATAATTATAAAAGAACTGTCTGTCGTTATTTTTAGATAAAATTCACAAGTGGAAGAACAAAACAAGCTAACGTTATTTTAAACGGAGTCTCAAACACATTTAAAACGGCAAAAGGAGGTAAACGCAAGCATGCGGAAGATATTACAAATATTCTTCTTGGTGGTCTCCGTGAAGAGAATAGGTACGTACACAATTTGTGCATGGCCTGTAGACATATATTTATCTATACAAACACTTGTATTTAATCAAGTTCTAGGTTAAAGTTGTTATACGAAGTCTCACGACTGTCCTCTGTCGGGTTTAGAGAAATGCGTATGGAGAGATAACTATGTTACACATAATTAATCTATTTAGATACTGTGAAAATGGATGTGTACCAGAATAAAATGCTACTACAGTACAATTTCGTTCAATATTTAAATCTACATTTTTGTGGAAGACAAATAATAAAAAGAACAATTCTACTTTAAGCTATGCGGTAGTATAACATACATGCATATATATTATATTAGGCCGATGTTGTTTCTTTAGCAATATTCGGTACTTACTGAACATGAAACCTAATGATAACGTTCTTTTCAAGTTCTATGGTTGGCTGCATCAAGTCATTAGAAGTGAACAATGATATTGTTCCATTCCATTACATATCTGAAGCAGAGGGCCATACCTATGGGTCGTGTCCAGAAACGGTATATAGCATCCGCATAATAAGTCCTGCTTTTTCTTTTCTTTTAAAATCAACCAATATTTATGTTTATTTATTTTTGTCGAACATTTGTGGCAAATGAAATAAATCATTTGACCCATTCGTTTACGGCTTATAGCTATTTAAATATTGAAAGATTGGTGTGTAAGTCAATTGTTTTATTTTATTTATATGTAATCCAAATTATTTTAATCGCTTGCAGGAATGTGTGATATTTGACGGTAACAACATTTTTTTTCTGATCATTTGTGGCCCATTCGTCTAAAGCATATAGGTATTAAATTATTGATAGAATACTGCAAGTTAAGGTTAGTATTTCTTTTTATGTAATCCAAGTTATTTTAATCGTTTGCAGGAATGTGTGATATTCGACGCTAACAGCATGCCAATAGAGATAACGAACCTTTCATCAGTTCAGATGATACATGTATCAATTGCACGAGGTTCTCTAGGACCTGTTCTACAATTTTCAAAACACAAAGAGGTATAAACCAATGTTCGTTATAAGAAATAAGGTCAAGTCGGTGTCTTTTCCAAGTTTTCCAAGCGACTGAAAATAGGGCTTGTATCAATTATTATTATTATTATTATTATTATTATTAGGAGTCAATAGATCTGTGCAAGAAATGTATTGCATATCATTTAATACGCGTGTGTTTCTTCTGGTCCTTCGAGATCATTGATCCCAATAGTGTAACTATTACTCAGTTCGATAGAAAAAAATGTTAAGGCCAGTGATAGTTGTATAAGAGAACACAATCAAACAAGGTCTGTGATTTTCAGCCATCAATAGCGCTATAATTGCTTTCAAAAGATTTCCTGTTCGAAATATCATACATAATTATTCGGTGTACTATTTATTGTACCTTTCTTGTTCCTTCTGGTATAAAAATCGCCACAAACAATTCTGGTCCGGATTCTACATATCATGTTGTTGTAGAAATACATTAAAAATAAAAAAATAAATCTATTTAGATTCCATTTAAACAGATACAAACATTATATTGACCTCATTATCGTGTTCGGATTTTTGTAATACAATTAACGTTACTTTGCAAATTATAATGTAAATTTATTTTAACCTTATTTAATTCAGCGCACCGACGATTTTTTATATTTAATAAAAACATATATACTTTTTTTATAGGCGGCGGTTTTTTATGATAAATATGTTCATATGTCTTTTAATTTCAGAAATTTAACTTGGAAATATCATTAAACACAGACGGCATACATGTAGAAGAAACTGTCAATGACAATTCAGAAGATTTCTCATTAAATGAAGACTCGGAATTCATTACTATTGCAATAAAGAATGACTTGAAGTCTAAAAGGTTTACCTTAATTTTAAAAGGATGTTAGTTTTTGTGTTTTCCAGGGAAGTCAACAATTTAAATACTAAAATTTTTCCCCTAATTGGTTTAAAAATTAAATTTTTTTAAAAATTTGCAAAAATCTTTTCAAATAATAATCTCTAGAACCATATTACTCATCATTATCATGTTTTAATAAACCATTCATGAACGTTTAAAACGAAAAGTTTTTTACTACACAGGATAATTATATTACTTGACAAATGTCGGTTCAAAATGCATGATTGCTATTTACAATATCTTAACTGACCACTTTGTAAAGTTGGTAAAAAAATTTCAGTATATAATATATACATGTTTTTTTAACTATTTTAGTCTTGAAGTAACAATTGAAGATGAAAGTGAAGACTTTTCATACAAGAAAGGAGGTGGTGCATGGGGTGGTTGGGGAGGTGGTGATAAGGATAATAAGAAGGGCGACGATGGTCCAGTATGGTACAGTGTTTCTGTAGCAACAGCATCAGAAGATTCGCCTGAGTTTCTGGGAAGAGTACAGAACCTTATTATAGATGGAAGGTTTGTCTTTACGTATTAGTAGATTATCTATGATAAGCATATGAGAAAGAACTTCGTTAACATTTACATTTTTATTCACCATTTACATTCATGTAGAATATTTTCAAATTTAAGCTCATACCGAAGTGTTTCAGAAAAATCAAGGTCCTACGATCACACATATGAAATTATCTTTTTTTAAAAATCAGGCCGATGAATTACTGAAGTTTGTGACCAACAAGCTTGGAATCACTGTAAATCCAATTCCTAGAAAAAAATTTAAAGAATCAACTACGAAGGAATAACATGCAAAGAAATTTTCATATAATTTTAAAAAATTTTGGTCAAAAAAAAACCTATTTAAAATTCCTTTTCACTAGGAAACCCCTTTTTGAGCCACGACTTTATCATTATAAACCCCGGTTTTTTTTTAAATTTAGTTCCCTACAGATACAAAAAAGTTTGGTTTTTTCTTTACATTTAAAAAATTGACTTTTTTTTAATTATACCAACTGCTTGGACCTATTTTTAAAATTGTTTTACAAGAAAAAAATAAATATATCCTCTCTTTTCATTTTTTTTTGTTATAAAAAATTTCCCCACTCGGGATAAAATTTTTCCAAGATTTTGAAATTATTTCATGCTCTAAAAGGGAATATCTGGGTAGTGTTTTATGTTTTGTCATTAATCGTGCTTGATGGTTCATACCGTTATCTCATTTGTGTAAATACTCAGGAACAAGAAAGATCAATTGAAAATTTCATTTTTGTAGCCTCATCTATGCTTTTATATTATTTTCATTTTCGTTTTCACTAATGTTTTCATTAAGCGAGAAAACGGTCTAATGCTGCCTTGTATTTATCTACATAGACTTTCTATCTTATAAAGTACATTTTGCAAAATATTTTTTTAAATGCATGATCTAATCATTTATTTTTTTGTCTATGTAATCGTAATGTTTCGTTTGAATATCGAATAGACCAGGCTGATATTTTTAATACTAAAGTCACGAGTGTATATGCTGTCGTAATTTCAATTTTAACCGTGTATAACACTGGTCCTATATTATCCAAAGGATTCATACCATGGTTAACCTTATATCTTTACGACTCAAGTTATCTTTCATACAGTCTACCATGTTCATCTATTTAAAAGAAAATGAAATTGATTAGATAATATGTAACGATTACAGTGATTCAGCTAATTTTATCATTGTGTGATAGAAATATTAAGATACTTTTGGATTGTATGTGTATTGGCATTATTTGGTGCTATCATTATATTTATGCATGCTTTTAACTTTATTTGTCATACAGATCATTTTATCGCTGCCATTGATCAATTTAAAATGGGTAAATAAATATAAGAATTAACGATATAGAATTTACTTACAAAAAATATTGTGTGTTTCAAATGAACTGCTAAACTTTAAACATATGTTACATGAAATTTCAAATTGGTACTATATACTACTTATATGAAATGCTTTTACAATTTCGGTAAGATATGACTATACGATGTATTTTGTATTTACCTCAGAACAATTGCTAAAATCGTAATAATGAAAATGCAATAAATCGGAATCCTAATAAGATGTTTTAAATGAGCTGTTAATTAAAAGTTATATAACATAGCAAATGTTTTCAGACAAAGATAAAAAAATATCTTTGACATTTAACGCAGGAAGTACCGTTCTTGTAATTTAATTATGACTTTTTTGCTCAATAAATTTATATTTTATTCATAATTGTGTGTTTTATTTTCTTCTCTTTACATACTTCTCAGTCACAATTAAATAAGAGATCCTGTGCGTAAAGCATATTAAAATTTCTGTAAACTTTTGTCAATTTCAATAAAACAATAAATATTGCAACATGAAAAGCATTCGCCTCGTTTTTACCAGACCTTTTTATACATCTTACACGGGTTATTAAAGTCTTTTAAATTCGTCTACTGTATGCATCAACTTATTTTTGTACAAATGTATGAGTAAACGTAGATATCGGGAAAAGGAAAATAAGATACATGAGTGTGTGTAAGTGAGGAAGTCACGGAAATAACATTTCTTTACTTATAAAAAATATTCCCGTCAACTATATGATGGCTAAAATACTATATTGTTTGTGTTAATTCATTAAACATTGTTTTTATTTGTTGATATCTTTAGAAAAATAAACACACAGCTAAGATCGGAACTTTCAAACAAAATGTTACAGCATCATTTCAAATGTATTAGTAAACACTCGTTTTCGTCTTTATGTGACCCTAAAAAGCCCAGATTTAATTGATTGATTTTAGGGATCGAAGTGTGTGCAAAGTCACATATAGAAAGTGTTGCGGAAATATGCGTTGAAAAAATAAAGAAAGCAGATATAAAATACAATTGTGTCTTACTTGCACATTGAAATAACTCTAGATAAAAAAATCAAATGCTTTTGCTTGAGCTACAAATAAGTTACTCATCTCCTTGTCCTACAACTTGTTTGGTAAGTATTTGGATATTCACGCTTGCCCCATAAACGTTGTTGTTTTTGCGTTGTGTGCATATATTTTTCAGTAATTTATTTTCATCACACAGTGCATTCTTTTTTCACTTTCTTATAGCACCGGAAAACGCACACCTGAATTTAAAGGGAAGCACAATGTCGATAAAAGTGTGTGTTGAGTACTCGTGAGACTAGATGAACAGTTCTACATGTTATAATGAAGGGTATGATGTCTTACAGGCATACATCATATTTTAAAAATACGACAAATAATATTTAGTCACTATTTATTACATAAGAACTATCTGATAATATTTTTCATGACTTTAACATGTCTAAATGGGAGATAACAACTATAATAAATCACCGCTTTCATGAATCGAAACTATCGTTGTAAACATGACTTATACGTATATATGAAAACAAGCAAACGCTAAGTGCTTCATTTAAAACACTGCATTATAAAATGTCAATGTGAAATAAATAATGCTTTTAGCTTTTTGATATCTCAACACAGGTCGTTCAAATTTAAATCTCTCTTTTGATAAAATGAATATTTCGTAAAACATTAAAAGAATTCTGTCTTAACAAAGGTGTTTAAATGTTTCAACATTAGCACCATTCATTTCCAACCCACACACAATATCACCATGTTGTTCTATCTTTAAAATTCGTCTGACTTGCATTTAACCGCCTTTACCGCAACTGTTATCTCATATTTTTATAACGTATCCGTGTTTTATCAAAAGGCATTAATGGTTCTGCTTCCAAAATAATCGACATATTTTAATTTAGTTTTTATTTCAATTTCTATAAACGCTTACAAAAATGTACATGACATACTTGAATCAAGCAAATCTATAACTTGAAAAAAACCCAGAAACATTGATAAGCAGGTACTGTGTTCTGTGTTCCCGTGCAAAATCTATTTTCTTATGTCTCCTATAACTGCCAACGTGCCAATTCAGTTAAATTTCAAAATTGCCAATGTATTAATGAACACCTGAGCATTCATTTAAAGCCAAAAGACAAACATAGCTTATGTACCATCATCTAAAAGCATATTTCTATATAGTCAATTATAATTGCAGAATAGGATTTTATAAACCTGCCGGGCCGTACTTTATCAATCTAAAATTAAAATTATATAATTGCATCATCCAGGGGCTATCAGAAAATATCAATGTATTCCACTGCGAGAAGAGGCGGAGGTCTAAAGAAAGACAAATAAAACTCTGCCAAAATGTAGGCGCTACCTATTTAAAGGATCACCCGTTACATAACAGATAAATCAATAAAAGTTGCAAAATTTTATTTCTGATTAATCATGAACGATAACTTACTAATCAAAGCAGTATGAACTCTTTATCAACTGTCAAATACTATGAATAATTTTCTTTTGATAAAGGGTTTACATATGTCTTTATACAGTATTGACCTGCTAATAAACCTTACACTATTAAAACTCTTGCTGAATACAATCAGGTGATGTCGACGCCCAGATCTTGAAATTAGACTGGTGATTCTGTTATACAGTCTATAGTCACTCAAATGTTGACCGACACAGCCCAAATTTCAAATATTGGAGATAAAACCCCCCTAAAGCAATTCATAATTGAAGTTTTAGCGCTCAAAGGATTTCCTTTTAAGGAATAAACTGCGCTTATCTCTTGCTGAATAAATCTCTACGTTAATGATATAAATTCCGTAGTAATGCAGCGTTACAGAAAAAGTCCTAGTAAACAAATTGAATTTCATTTTTAACTTTGCGGGAAGAGCAAATTAAACTTTTTCTTCAAGCTTAACATAAGCTTATTCATAGCGTGACAATATTATTTGGATTAAGACAAAGATGTTGATGGATTCCACGAAGAAATGTATATTTCTACTGCAAGTAATATCAAGTGCCTTTTTAGGTAAATATAGATTTCGAAATAATTTATATTTTTTTCCATAAAGTTTTGTAACGTTGTTTTTGTTGTTAATGTTTCTTTATTAATTTAAGCAAGAAATGTATATATCATACTAGTAAGTGATATATATATATTTTACAATAAATGTTTTAAATATTTTCAAAATAAACATTGTTTAATATCACTTATGTAGAAAAAGCTAAAAATAAACACACAAAAACTTAAAATGAATCTGTTTAAATGTTAATAGCCTAGCACAGTATGTGGTGAGTGTTAGTCTAAGGAGTAACATATCAGAACTTCATACATATTTTCAAAACACTTCACTTGGTTGTTCTGTCATTGGTCTAACATTTCCTTTTAAAAACAAGCAAGGGAGATTTTGTTCTATAACTTTGAGACAATAATGTGTCCGCATTCCTTCAATTGTGTCAATCAGATGAAACTATGGAAAACAAACCCTAAATAAATAACAGATTGATACCATGTCTGCATAGTTAAAAAAATGGAAGTCTAAAAGAGGGCACGGCACGGCAAAAATTAAGACGGTGCAAGCTCTGTTTTATTGTGCTTGTATATGGTAATCAGTGGAACATTCAAGCTACCGTCCACGCCCTCTATCACAGGCTTAATCAGAACTCAACGTTGAATATGAAACTGTGTTTTTAATTTACAAGCATCCACATACCTGTAAGCTGACTTTTATGCCATAATAAAAGTAGAGGAAAACATTCCACTGCACCCCTAACACTGCAGATATATTATTTATATATAATATTATGATGATATTATATATGCATGTCATCCATTATCTATTTCTATATCTATAAATATGTTTCAGTGAAAACACAAATTACTCCAACCCCAGCCGGTGGTATTGTAGCATATAAAAATGGAACTTGTGGTAGTTATAATAATTCCATGGAAACAACTTGTAACTTCCCTGACTTGTTCTCGGAAGAAAAAGGAACATGTATACCATTTTACGAAGTGAGTTGTGGAAACAGAACAGTGCCTCTCACGCCCTGTGAGTAGAAGCCTTTTCATATACTAGTAGATTGTTATTGCTATATAATTATTCATATCGGTTCTGATAAAAATAAATAAAGACATATAAGAAATAAAATTTAGAAATGAATGTTAAACGTCTTCAAAATTCACGACATTGTTTATTCTTATTTTTCAAATCAGATTTGATCTGGGCTTATTAAGTGTGCATTAAATTTTAGTAACCAATTCAAGTCTTAGGATGATAATTATTTTATTCATTTATTTTTCAGGTGAATACACTAATTCAAATTGCTCAAGACCTAGGGAAAATGCAACTTTATGTGTATGTGAAAATGACTTGGACTTAAACTATGACATGTGCCTGTCTCTGAATGATGGGGATTATGCTTGGCCAGCACGCCACTGGTCACCGTACTTTATTAAGTGCACATCCAAACGTACCCTGCCCACTAGCTGTGAAGGACATTCTGTGATCTATAACTTCTTTGAGAACAAATGTCAAGTTGTTTATGAAGTAGTGAACGCTGCATATAATTTATCATTATCTTTGAGCATTCCAGAATCCCTTTACCATCTTTTATCTTTCAAACCAACACATTTTGTTCCTGAGCCAACACTTGAAATTTCACGAACGCATTTCGATCAGGTGGCACATGCATCCGATATGATCACGCATTCTACTAAAGTCGCTGTAGAATCTACGATATTTACAAAAACTGCCTCCAAAACTGTTCCCTCTGTTATTTCTGGAATTGGAAGTGGAAACATTTTAGATAGTTCTTTCACACTTACAACACCACAATTCGTCTATTCAGAACTGTCACCAGTAATAACCACACACGTGGGTTCAACTTCGTATCACTCAGCTCCAGCTGGTGAATTATCAAATTCAATTGTTTCATCTCAAGATTCTACATCAATTTATCAACAAGAATCTTCAGCACAAACATCTTTATACCATTGGTCGTATCAGTCTTCAAAAAATCCAACTAAAGTTATGAATTCAAAGATCGCATTTTCAACGAATGAAATCGAATCAACGCAAACGACCAATATTTTAACTTCAGCTTCTTCATCAACAAAAGAATACGCATCAGGTAGCATATATTTTTCAAATGAGTCCAAGCTAGAGCAAATTAAATTTTCGCAAACAAGTTCGTCTCTTTTTAGTGCAACGACCATAACACAAGATAATGTTGTAAAGTCTGACTCAAATCAATTTTCTACTACTATGGAAAAATCATCATCCAGTGAATTGTCACAGACTTCTATAAGACACCTACATACACAGACGAGTTCGTTATTGCCTCCTTTTCATTCGTCTCGTTTCATAAATCCATCTTCAACTGATAATTTTTCATCTTCAGTATTTTCAACAAATGATTTTGAAACAGCGGCAACAATCTTTCCTGTTGACTCATCTACGTCATCAGCAAGATCGCTAGGAAGGATATCTAGAAATTTAGAGTCAGTTAGCAATTCATTACTTTCATTAAAACAAACTTCAATTTTACCGTTTGTAACTATCGTCAAACATACTGCCTCATTGACTACAACAATACCATCAGTATCTTCAAAGTTGCAACCATCATCACAATCATTTTCATCTC